ACACGAAACAACACAAAAAAACAAACAAGAAAAATTAATAAATTTGAACTACTTTCTATTCTTATTATGATGACTGGTTCTTTGATTCTTGTCCTGTAGAAGTTAATAGGTAGTACCAATGCTGTTTTGTACGATCGCAACAAATTTTCACACTCTCTCTAAGGCTATTTTTACATGGGACCAGTTTGCTTCTTATCAAAAATCTTGCAAACCATGCCAGTGAAGCCACGACCTCTGCGATCGGTCCGGAATCAGTTCGAACACCCCAATGATTTCTTTACAATGATTAATGCTCTTATTCTCTTACATGACATGTTTTCTTTGAAATATTAAATGTGAAACCTAGACGAGTACTGTAAGCTCATCTTTAATTCTGTCCGACTCCGTCCGTTGTTTTGAAAATTTTTGATCACTGGGGCGATGTTTTGATTTGTTTGTTGATAAACACAAGCGCACCATCTCATTGGTTGAAAAGTGTCGCGTGACCAGTTGGCCCTGTCCTTAAATTTAGGGATATTCCGGACTGGTTAATACACGTTTTATTTGAAAATACAGGTACAACAATGTCGTAATGTTTTTAAACATTTGGATGTGAATTGTTATTTCCTTCTCTTCATTATATATATGCAGGCCGTAGTTTGAAATTTATCTGCACATATTTGATGTGAACACTTTCCTCGACCCTCACTTGAGAAATAAATGCTGAAAACCGTTCAGAGGACGATTGTTATTCTTATTACTATTATTACCATTGTTGTTTTTGTTGTTATTTTTGATGATGATACTTATTATTTATTGGGTTTGCTTGTCCTCCGAACATCTCTTTCAAGTTTATACAAAGTACGATGGTCTGTTACTGCAAAGTGTAACAGCTTTTTTTATTGCAAAGTTTGGTGTTATTTCAAAGTGAGATAGTTATTACAAAGTGCGACAATTTCATCAGAAAGTGCGACAGGTATTACAAAGAGCGACGATTATTACAATGTGAGGCAGAACAAGCAAGCAAGTTTCTTTCAGACACAGTGTAGCCAATGTGTTATTAGCTGACTCATTGTGGATAATAATTTTAAGCTGAAAGGAAAAATATGTTCTTTTTTGTTTTGGGCTAAGGCCGTCGTGTAATGCAAGTCCGATATACTGAATGTATCTTGTATTTAATTTCTTTTTGTACAAGTGTAAATTGATTAAAATTGTAAGGAAAGCAGTCCAGCTGTTTCGTCTTTGTATTGATCAGCCAAAGGGGTGGTGGCAGGGTTCGTACAGAGCCCTGAATTCTTGAAAAAGTCTTGAAATTTGTAAAGCAATAATCCAGACCTGTAAAAAGTCGGAAAATATTCTTATTTCTAAACAATTCTGAACGCGAAGGCCAGGAATGTGTTAGAATAACTCCAGCTAGAAGAAGGCATCACGTCTTTTTACACTTTCAACGTATTTAAAATCTAGCAACTGTGAAAATAAAAGCTAAAAGTCTTGAGATATATTTCGCTCTTAATGACTGAAGAGGCTCGAAGAGCGATATATATCTCAAGACTTTGTTTTCAGTTTTACAGTTTTTACACAGTTTCTAGAATTTTAGAGCGTTGAATGTGTAAAAAACAGGATTATAAAAATAACCCTGACTGATTTGTTGGACTTAAGTCCCTTTTACAATTCGTACGTAAAATAACGCAAATTACTGACCAACCTAAAGACTAAAGAATTCTGACAAGTATAACTTAAGTAACTTGTTTTTCCTCCACCTATATTTTTATCTGATGATAATCAGTAAAAACTGTTATAGGTTGTGAACTCCTTTGAGGAGTGTAGTATTTCCTAGAAATGATTCATGTCACAAAATAAGTGCAGAAAATTACGTGCACACATCAATTAACAAAGAAATGACCATTATTCTGATGTACTTTTTTAATGGGGAAGGGGGGGTTTGGCATTGGAGGTGGCCTGCAAAACTGCGCCTCCGCAACTTGACTCAATTTTTTCTCAGAAAGACTTGCCCCTTGGCAGCCCAATGTATTTTATTAGAAATGCTAGAAACAGTAACATAACAGGCAACTGGACAGCCTCCTGGGAAACTGCCCACCTACCCCTCCCCTAAGGGCAAAATGTTGAATTAGGGGAGGGGTAGGTAGGTAGTTTCCCAGAAACCTAAATTAATCTACATAATTATTCATGCAAGTTTCTTTCAGACACAGTGTAGCCGATGTGTTATTAGCTGACTCATTGTGAATAATAATTTTAAGCTGAAAGGACAGAATATCTTCTTTTTTGTTTTAGGCTAAGGCCGCGGTGTAATGCAAGTCTCTAATATAATGAATGTATCTTTTATTTAATTTCTTTTTGTACAAGTGTAAATTGATTAAAATTGTTAGGAAAGCAGTCCAGCTGTTTCGTCTTTGTTTTGATCAGGCAAAGGAGTGGTGGAAGGGTTCGTACAGAGTCCTGAATTCTTGAAAAAGTCTTGAAATTCGTCAACCAATAATCCAGACCTGTAAAAAGTCGGAAAATATAATATTCTGAACGCGAAGGCCAGGAATGTGTTAGAATAACACCAACTAGAAGAAGACATCACCTCTTTTTACACATTCAAGGCACTTAAAATCTAGCAACTGTGAAAATAAAAGCTAAAAGTCTTGAGATATATTTCGCTCTTAATGACTGAGGAGGCTCGAAGAGCGGAATATATCTCAAGACTTTTAGTTTTTATTCGTACAGTTTTAGTGTTTCTAGATTTTTAGTGCATTGAATGCGTAAAAAGACGTGATGTCTTCTTCTAGTTCGAGAAAATATAGTTAAAATCTGGAAAAATGGTAGAACGTCTGAAGTTATTTATTCAAAGCTACGATAAGGTAGTAATTTTTTTTTCCCCTTTTTCAAATCGTATTCGATCTCGGTCGGCCGTATAGCCACGACATCATGAGGAAAACTTGGTTCCTACGTTTTTCAGTGTGTTGATCAACTATTTGATAACCTTGAGTCCTGAAAAAAGAAATTATTTTGGAAAAAAGTCTGGAGAAAGCCTTGGGTTTTTTATCCAAAAATCTGTACGTACCCTGTGGTGGGTTAAATGAGAATTACTGTTGTGGTTCACTAGTCTTTGGTCTTGTTAATATATAGATTTAGCGAAGCTCCCGTTAAAGTTGGTATTTCCTTCAAACAGTGAGTTCAAAACTATTGCAAACAAATCCACGATACAGTTTTTCAGAGGCAATACCGATATTTTTCAATCGCCTTTAAAGTGGTTTTTTCCTTGTCCGATCGCTATAAAATTTTCACCAGTAATTGGCTATGGATTGAAATTTGTGAAAATGTAGTTTTAAGTAAAATCAATATTACTATGACAACAATAAACAAAAAAATTTGAAAGTGATAAAAGCCGAATTTTGTGTGATCTAGACCTGTTACTGAAAATCCAACACTAGGAACTTAAAGTTTGGTGTTTAGCAAACAATCTCCGTAAGAAGTAAAAAATTCTGTATGTTTGAATTCGACTAAAACGAAAATATATTTCAAACCTTAAATTTTCAATAGCCGTGATACATTATTTAATAAAAACGTTATAAATGACTCAAATTACGATGCTAGGAAATTTCGGTGTACTTTCGTTCTTGCCGGATCTTGAAAACTAACCTGTTTTCTCACCACCTGTATAAGTGCAACCTCATTCAGAATTTGGACATTTAGCGCTTTCTGGTATATCTCCGAAACGACTCGAACGAATTTTTTTTAAATCTCTTCTGAAACTTTCATTAAGATTGATTCACTGCAACACCTTAAAATTTCAAGACAAACCTATCCTACTAACCGGTCAAAAATCTGCGTTACAACATTCACTGTTTTGACGTTATGCTAATTTTTCCAAAATAATGCGCACTATACATACCTCTATGACTAGTACATTTTAGTTTGAATTTATCGCATCTTTTGAATGTAAAACATTGACAATACTCACACTGAAATGTACTAGTCAGGGATGTATGTATTATAGGGGCATTTGGTAAGTTGTGCGTACCTCTGAAAAAAAGCTGGCTACGCCCCTGTCATTTGTTTGGAGTTCCACTCCTCAGAACTCAGTAAATGATTTAACCAAAACTGTAACACTTCATTTTCCCAGGAGCCCATAATGCGCTCCTTATTTTCCCTTTTAGCGAGTCGCTTTCTTTTAGAGTTTCCAGTACGAGCAAAAATGGCTGAGAATACTTCATTTCGCTTTCAGGTCATTGACGAGTTCAATTAAAATAACATAACCGAAGAGATTCTAGCGACTTTTTATGAACCTGATACTGGTACTGGTTATTCACTATCCATAGTAAGGAATAAGTCACACTGACCGCCATTTTTTAAATGTAGATGTTCTCTGTTTATTTTTTAACACAGCTATTAATTATTCCATAGAAATACATGTACAGTACTCTTTGAGTACAAAATATGCACTGCTTGTAGCAGATTGGAAATGGCTAATTAACCTTGCAACTGACCATGAACTTATAATATAAATACTTCCTGTCATGTCACTGAGGAAAGTATGTTTGCTCAACATAAATTAAATACTCTTTGTTATACAATTTTATTAACATGATGCTCCTTAAAAAGAAAGATGTATAAATCTCAGCAGCTTAAAGGTTTATACTACAGCTAGAGAGAGCAGACGACACTATATACATTTGCTTCTTGGCCAGCTCAAAAAAATATTCATGCGCTCGGTGATTCTTTTTACATTTCTCAGTATGAAAAAAATAGTAACCATTCCAGAAAAGAAAATGCTGAACATTAAATAATATCTTTACAGTTTATGTACTTAAATTTATTTACAAGCTATTATTAAAAGCGACTAGATCTTGAAACCTTATCAAAAAATATTGGCCAATTTTTAAGCTACAATGTCCACAAGGCTGATCTTTTTGCGTTACGTTTTAACCTATCTCGAAAAATAACCACCGCTTACAGGGTGACTAATTGCTAAACATTTACTTCAGGATCTTGTTGAGGACTATTCATTTTCCTCTTTAATTACAAGAAACAGCCTCCTGGATTTCAAACGTTTTGGCTTTAAAGATGGTTTCTGCACCAACTGGAGTCGTTACCATGTCACCGTCTGGTAAAAATCGAAACCAGGCTTGTCTGTCGTAGGTTGTACGGCCCTTTTTCCGCCTCATGGTTGCCTTGCCTGACTCATCACTGACCAGAAACATTTCTGGGTTAACAGCCGACTTTATATTGCAGAAAACGTTACTGGCTTTTTCAACGTGGAACAAGAACCTGGCATCAGTAGGCTCGCTATCGGAGAAACTCTATATTGAAAGCACAAAAGAAAGTGATAAACATGATAAAATGACGTTACTGTGTCATATTATGTATCGATTTAAAAGAGTGGCTTTGTGAGTCACTGGCATTAGGCCGTGTAAACCCTTGAGACTGTGTTTTTCTGCGCAAAAAATAGATCATCACGTTCGATAATTTTCCACCTTGATCTCGACTATTATGAAGGGCAAAGTAGCAGAGGGGCCATTTCAACTCCGCTCTTTCAAATTCCATTTAGCAACCCTAGAGAGCTGGGTTAAAAGAGGAATACTCGATTTTGTGGGGGAATTTGCTTCAGTTGTAAACTCTAAATAATGCAAGGTTTACAGAAAAGTCCTTCGACCTTTCGCCATAAAATCTGTTGGGGTATGCGTAAGATGAACCAAACTTAACTTCCACCTTGGAATTCAGTTAACGTTGTCATTACATTAAGCCATTTTACTTAACTCGTATTGTTTCTTACCATCAGAAACACTTCGTTATTCTCTGCACACAGGAAGTATTGTTGGCCCTCTATATAGCACGAGAAGGTGTTGTATCCTGGCATGTCATGCTGCCCAATATAGAATTCTGAAATACATGGGTATACAACAGTGTACATTTTGGTCACCGGCTGGTGATTATATCTGATACATAAATATAGAATTATTAATACCTCAGTCAAGAAAAGTTTGCGCCAACAGTAATTAAGGTAATGTTACACGGGACGATTCGCGACGACGATTTTTAGCACCACACAGAGTAGCAACATTGTTGCGACATCGTTTCAAATGGTTGCAACACTGTTCCAAAATTGTAAAGCTGTGTTGCGCTATAAATCGTCGTTGCGAATCGTCTCGTGTAACATCACCTTTACGCATGTCAGAAATCGAACGAGTGAGATTTCTGACATGCGTAATTACATAAATGAATAAATATAGAATTATACATAAATATAGAATTACCTCAGTCATGGAAAAATCGCGCGAACAGGTCTTACGCATGCCAGAAATCTCACTCGTTCGATTTTTGATACAAAAACATCGAGAGCTAGCGTAGTGATCGCTAGTACTTTCCAGTACTCTTTGCTAAATTGCCTAGAACTGGATCAAATTTTCCCATACACAATGGATACCCAATCCCTCCTAAAGAAAAGGAGTTAATTCTTATTATAAGATATTGTGGAGCAGATTCGTATGACAAAATGTTTTCATTCCTCTACACAGTCGTTTGCGTCATCTTGTTAGTATGAAAGTCGACAAAGTTGGTCAAAACAAAGGAAGCTGTTACTTTTAATTAGTGATATTTTTGGCGGGAAAACAAGTCATATGAATTCAATTTCGCGAGATCAACAAGTTTCCCATCTTTCCCATCCCTTAACGTACTGGCTTTTTTTGTCATCGTGATCCGCTTCAATAAATTTTGTTGCCAAAGACGAAAAGTATAAACTTTGATCCAAATGAGGACATTTTGTCGCTGCACAAAAAAAAAACAAAGAAAGAAAACGGGTGCATAAACTTGTCTTACTCGTATGCCCATATATTCAAAATACCTGTTGTTTCCTCATAAGCGTTTCCCGTAAATTCCACGGTTATCCTTGCTTCCCGTTCATGACCCTTCTTTGTAACAGCTTTTAAATAAGCTCCTCCTGCGTATTGTCGAACATTCGCCATTATGACTTTGCATTCCATGCTCTTCGCCCAGGTGAGTTCCATCTGTTGAGAAGAGAAACATAACGTATCTAAATACAAAATACATTAACGAATGGATTCATTTTCCAGTTGCCTCTTTCCTTAATGTTTCTAAATTTTCCTCTCCGCCTCTTTTGATGTCGACTGTCAAGATTGTAGATAAATATTAACGGTAAAAAGTTTCAAGGTATTTCAAACTCATTATTTCAGCTGATCTGAAGAATCTCTAAACTAGAAAAGCTTCTTCCCATGTTTTTAATAAGGCTCTCTCCATACATTACAAAATCTTACATTTTCAAAATACTTCGACATTTTATGAGTGAAAGGTCCAGACAACCTCTGAAACACAACAGATAATATTGATTTGTATAGAACTATTTATTTACCGTAATGATTCGATTTAGCGCCTTCCTTCCGATAAGAGCCCTCTTTCGAGTAAGCGCGCCCCTTGGAAGGTGTTTTTCTTAATAAGCGCCCTCATTCCAATAAGCGCCCTTATTCTGCTAAGTACCCCAATATTAGCATACGGGTACGTATATATCAACCGAGGTTCATCTTCCTTTAAGGTGTTTCGATACAGTTTTTTAGAGGCAATACCGATATTTTTCAATCGCCTTAAAAGTGTTTTTTTCCTCCTCCGATCGCTTTAAAATTTTCACCAGTAATTGGCTATGGATTGAAATTTATGAGAATGTAGTTTTAAGTAAAATAATCTATCACGGCTATTGAAAATGTAAGATTTGAAACATATTTTCGTTTTAGTTGAATTCAAACATGCAGAATTTTTTACTTCTTATGGAGGTTATTTGCTAAACACCAAACTTTAAGTTCCTAATGTTGGATTTTCAGAAGCTGGTCTAGATCGCCCAAAATTAGGCGTTCGTCAGTTTCAAGGTTTTTTGTTTATTGTTGTCATAGTAACATGGATTTTACTAAAACCTACAATTTGCCAATTTTTTATTCTATAGTTAATCATTTGTGAAAATTTTATAGCGATCAGGCAAGGACAAAATCACTTTTAAAGCGATTGAAAAATATCGGTATGGCCTCTGAAAAACTATATCGAAACACCTTAATTGCTCACAAATGAACGGTAATGCCACATTACAAAAACAGTGGTCTTAGAGTTTCTCACTTTAACTGAACATAGATCGTATATTTGTTATTGTTACAGTTTCTGTTATTGTCCCTTTTGTAACAAATATTCAGTAAAGTTTTGTTTTGAACATTCTGTTGTTTCTCAAAAAACGATAAGAGCCCTCTCTCGAATAAGCGCCCTCGCTTGAGGTAGCAAAGGTCAATAGGCGCCCCGGGCGCTAAATCGAATCATTACGGTAAACTCTTGACTAGGTTTCCACATAATAACCGTCAACCATCAAAACTAGAAAAAATTAATCATGAGCCGTCAAAGGTACCACCCCAATTCAATGAGACCCTCACCTAATACCTAGTGATTGTTACTCAACGTGAAGCAGGTGGGGAGGAATTAAGCTCACGCATTTGCTGTAATTCTTTCATACCTCTTTTGTTTCTCTGACAACTTCCATTACTGGTGACGACATCTTGGAAGGTTTTCTTTGACTTGAACCGTTGAACGTTTAGCTTGGCTTTTCTACTTTAACAGGCGACTGCAAGATGAATTTGAATTTGTGCTCCACGATGGTTGTATTTATTTCCATTTATCACCGGAAGTTATAAATGGAAATGTAAGCTTGGGATTCCCAAAATAGCAAAAGGTCACACGCCGGAGCTTAAACGAAATGAAAGTCACAACATCGCTAGTACACAAAGGTTTGAAATTCTCTAATCCTTGCTTCGCAGTTTGAGTTAAAACCAATTTTACTTAGCGTCTCTGATCGCTTGTTTAAAAAAACTTCATATTTTGGGGGGCTTTTTATTATATATCAATGCTGTAGTTAGAAAGAACTGAGAGGAAAACGAAATATCCTCAATTAACAACTAGCAAAATTGCAAAAACTGTCATTTACGGCCAAAGCTGTTTGAGGCGAGTATAAAAGTCTATTAGAAAATGAAATTTTTCGTCTTGATTCAGTTCTCTTCTCCTTGTAGCTGAAGATTATTCTAATCAAGGAAGCCGGTTTTTGTCATTTCTGGTCTGGTGTACTTTTTTGTACAAGCCACTATTATCATCATGTGTTCTAAAAGCAAAACAAAAAAAATGATTCAACCTTTTCAATTTTTTTTATTTCACCAGGTATAAGAACTCCTGAATGTTTTTGCTGCTTATTAGAGCTCTTTGTTTTTAAAAAGAGCATGTTTCAGTGGATTTCCAAGTTTTTCAGTTCGTCATGCAACATTTAAAGCTAGTTGCCTTTATAATCCCATCTGAACGGTTCCCAATGTGTTAGAGTCCGGCGGCTTAGCTTCAGAAGTATGCGATTTTGGATACAAGCACCAAACTTTGCTGGAATATTTACATTTCTAGGCTGGTTATGTCCTGATAAAGTGCCAAGTTAAATTTTCTAATTCCATGAAATTTTCAGACCCGAGACTCCCCGTGAAGTACTTTTTCTTGCTCCTTTTTAGAGTTAATGCACGTTTTATTTGAAAATACAGGTACAACAATGTCGTAATGTTTTTAAACATTTGGATGCGAATTGTTATTTCCTTCTCTTCATTATATATATGCAGGTCGTAGTTTGAAATTTATCTGCACATATTTGATGTGCACACTTTCCTCGGCCCTCGCTTGAGAAATTAATGCTGAAAACCGTTCAGAGGACGATTGTTATTATTATTACTATTATTACCATTGTTGTTTTTGTTGTTATTTTTGATGATGATACTTATTATTTATTGGGTTTACTTGTCCTCCGAACATCTCTTTTAAGGTGGCTCCGTAATTGATACAAGAGCATTTAGCTGTGACAAATTTTCCGTCGTAACTTTTTCGATTTTAACGTGATGGCTGCGAAACTTTACAAAAAACAACAGATATCATTCCGCAATAAGACGAAATATTCCGATTTCATTGATGGTAAATATTTCTTGAGAAATTAGCGCTTAAAAGGACCCTACTGTTCAAAGAAAATCGCGTCTAGTAAAAAATTTTGCTGATATTTTTTACTGAAATTTCTGGAATCGACTTTAATTGATATAATAAATATGCCAGAGGAATTTCAGAAAAATCGTTGGAGCAGAAGTCCGTAACTAAAAGTGGCTCAAAATTCAGCAGTGAAATTGTTTTGGAATTTCAAAAATAAATTACTATCAGGAAGAAGGAGACACCAGTTTGAATTTTCAGGACAAGTAAATGCAGTGATTGCTAATTCTGAAAACAGAAGCCGATTGCCTATCGTGCTATTCTTTAAAAGGTACTTTTCAGTTTTAGAAGCACTATAAATTGCTCCAAACTTTGCTTTGACGTCGAATGATTTGTTCCTCGACATTTTTAAAATATCCCTTGGCAGTTTTGGTTCAAACTCCTGCTACATACATTTTGATGTATTGCAATGCATCCTCAACGGCTTTTCCTGCTGTACGTTGTTTCCAATTCAGGAAAAAGGTATTGGGATTGTAAGCTACCTTGAATCGAAGCTCAGATAGAACTGTCCAGCACCTTTGTTTATGACCAGAAAATAAGCACGAGCGGCAGCTCTGCGAATTCCGCACCTCAGCCGGGGGGACGAATGACAATGATGCCCATGTCTGTGAACCGACCTGTATAAACATATATTGCAGATCAGAGCAAAACATAATAATCAAGAAAAAAAAATACCCATTCATTGAAGGAAGGAGTGACAAAAATTTCAGAGTTGTAAATTTATTCACGGGCAGTATTTTTGCGATAATTTTATTTTGCACTGTGATGTTATTCGGTTCACAGGCATGGTCATCATTGTCGTTCGTCCCCCCTGGGTGAGGTGCGAATTCCTCGCAGAACTGCCGCTCGTGCTCATTTTGTAGTCATAAACAAAGGTGCTGGAGAGTTCTATCTGACCTCTGATACGAGGTAGCGTCCAATCTCAATACTTTTTTCCTGAGTTGGAAGCAACGAACAGCAGTAAAAGTCGTTGAAATTGCATTGCAATACATGAAAATGTATGCAGCAGGAGTTTGAGCCAAAACTGCCAAGGGATATTTTAAAACTTTCGGAGAACAAGTTATTCTACTTCAGAGCAAGGTTTGGAGCAATTTATAGTGCTTCTAAAACTAAAAAGTACTTTTTAAAGAATAGCACGATAGGCAATCGGCTTTTGTTTTAAGAATTTAATTGTAAATAATAGTAAACGTTGAATTTACTTGTCCCGAAGATTCAAACTGGTGGCTCCTTCTCCCTGATAGTAATTTATTTTTGAAATTCCAAAACAATTTCACAGCTGAATTTTGAGCCACTTTTAGTCACGGACTTCTGCTCCAACGATTTTTCTGAAATTCCTCTGGCATATTTATTATATCAATGAAAGCCGATACCAGAAATTTCAGTAAAAAATATCAGCAAAATTTTTTACTAGACACGATTTTCTTTGAACAGTAGGGTCCTTTTAAGCGCTAATTTCTCAAGAAATATTTACCATCAATGAAATCGGGATATTTCGTATTATTGCCGAATGATATCTGTTGTTTTTTGTAAAGTTTCGCAGTCATCGCGTTAAAAACCAAGAAGTTATGACGGAAAATTTGTCACAGCAAAATGCTCTAGTATTAATTACGGAGCCACCTTAAGTTTATACAAAGTACGATGGTCTGTTACTGCAAAGTGTAAGAGCTTTTTTATTGCAAAGTGTTGTGTTATTATAAAGTGAGATAGTTATTACAAAGTGCGACAATTTCATCACAAAGTGCGACAGGCATTACAAAGAGCGACGATTATTACAATGTGAGGCAGAACAAACACAAGGATTTTCTTGTATGTTAAAAAAAAACCTTCCTCCGAAACTATTCAGTTCACGACAGCGATTTTGTTTTGCTTTACCAGCTTAACGTTTAGTAGAATCTCTTTTCGCATAAGCACTTTTGCGACGCTTAATTTATCCTTTAAAAGGACAAATAGCGTGAGCTCTCGGCCATGGACGGCTATTCCCCAGGAGTAGAGCCGTCGGCCATTTCCTTTCTTTTGATCACAACATTCCTTACATTCCCACTTGTGAGCCTCACAAACAATTCGGGCTGAGCCTGCACAGCACGCACGGACTGCAAATCACTGAACGTTAATACACTCCAAGAGAAAAATTTAAGTGAATATTTTAAGAGCTGACTACTTTTTCACATTTGCTCCTAACGAACCTTGTTAGGAATTGTATGGAGATACTGGTATAATAATATTGTTGTCTGTCTTTCAGAAACTTCCCCCTGATAATAATTGGTATGTAAAAACTTGTCATAAAACCCCCCCAAAAAACCAAGATGGTTGTACCATGGTAAGTGTATACTATAGGGAGGGTGCAACTGATGATACTTTATTCAAGTTAATTATTTCGGTATTAAAGAGGAGAATTTACAAACAGCTCTACTGGCAAATAGCATGGCTAATCTAGGTGGGTGGAGCAAATCGGTGGCCTGCAAAACAGCACCTCTGCAACTTGACTCAATTTTTGCTCAGAAAGACTTGCCCCTTGACAGCCCAATATGTGTTATTAGAAATGCTAGAAACCCAAACATAACAGGCAACTGGACAGCCTCCTCCGTCTTGAAATATAATTGTTCTAGCAAGCTTCTTTCAGACACAGTGTAGCCAATGTGTTATTAGCTGACTCATTGTGGATAATAATTTTAAGCTGAAAGGAAAAATATCTTCTTTTTTGTTTTGGGTTAAAGCCGTGGTGTAATGCAAGTCCGATATACTTAATGTGTCTTGTATTTAATTTCTTTTTGTACAAGTGTAAATTGATTAAAATTGTAAGGAAAGCAGTCCAGCTGTTTCGTCTTTGTATTGATCAGGCAAAGGGGTGGTGGCAGGGTTCGTACAGAGTCCTGAATTCTTGAAAAAGTCTTGAAATTTGTAAAGCAATAATCTAGACCTGCAAAAAGTCTGGAAAATATAGTTATTTCTGAAGAATTCTGAACGCCAGGGCCAGCAATGTGTTAGAATAACTCCAGCTAGAAGAAGATATCCGTCTTTTTACGCATTCAACGCGCACTTAAAATCTAGAAACTGTAAAAACTGTAAAAATAAAAGCTAAAAGTCTTGAGATATATTTCGCTCTTAATGACTGAAGAGGCTCGAAGAGCGATATATATCTCAAGACTTTGTTTTTATTTTTACAGTTTTTACAGTTTCTAGATTTTTAGAGCTTTGAATGTGTAAAAAACAGGATTATAAAAATAACCCATGCACACAATTTACACCTGGCTGATTTGTTGGACTTTAGTCCCTTTTACAGTTCGTACGTAAAATAACGCAAATGTTTAATAGAAAAATTTCTCAAACGATGTTAAGAAATCACCCCGGCTTTATAATATCTGCTATTAAAATTTGCTTTATGCAACGTTAAGGTTGATAGCCTAACATTTATTTCCTTCCAAGAAAATTATCATGAAACTGCCGAAATTTTTATTTCTACTCATTTTATGTTAATCCACTCAATAAACCGCTAATTAT